TTTGTAGCTGGCTTTGGTGCCGCATCTTCTTTCCCTTCTGGAGCAGCACCAAAACTCATACGACTAGAAAGACTTCCGCCAGTACCAGGAGTGGGTGTGGCTGCATCGGTCTTGGCAGCTGAACCAAACAAATTGATCTTTGGTGGTTCAGCATGTGCTTTTTTTGAGAAAATACTAGAGCCGTTCTCATCAACAGGAGTACTAGATGTACTTGTAGTAGCCTTGCTTGGGTTTGGTTGGTAGCTTGGATCTTTCTTTTCACCCTCTCCGTCGCTGTTAGAACCGCCATCAGAACTTCCATCGTCCTCTTCATTCTGATTCTTGGATTCTGCATCAGAGAGATGCGCAAATGGGTTACCAGAAAATGAAGGGGTCTTTCCCGAAGCACCTGCAGCACCATCAAGGACGGATCCAGTGCTAGAGAACAAGTTAGGAGTTGATGCTCTCGAGGTATTTGCCGAATTGAAAATACTCTCAGCAGCGCCGGTAGCAGGTTTATTAGCTTGTCCGGATGATGAGGTAGAAGTAGTGGTGGCGCCTGATGCAAAAATATTTGTAGCCGCTGGTTTTACAGTCTCTTTTGGTTCAGTGGCTTTTGGGGTATCAGTGGGTTTGGCGAGGAAAGAAGGAGCCTTGACCTTTGCAAGCTCTTCCAATTCTTTAAGCTCCGCAGCTCGCTTCTTCTTGTACTTAGCCTCCCACTCAGCCTCATCGTCGTCCTCAGAATCAAAATCTTCATCCTTAGCTTTTTGCATCAAAACCTTTTCATTATCTTCGGCCTTTTTTCCAAATTGAGCCATGAAATTGACGGGTGCACTACCAAAAGTTGGTGGCTTGATACCACCAGTAGGTGCGCCGGCAAAGGTAGGTGGTTTAATACCGCTTGTACCGGTAAACGTAGGTGGTTTGGTTGGGGAGGTAGTAGGTGTGGTAGATGTAGGTGCGAATTTGAAGACTGGAGGCTTGCTTGGCGTAGTAGAGGTTGCAGCGGTGTTAGGCTTGATGGGAGAAGCACCTGCCAAATTTCCAAATGGATTTGTAACAGGGGCTGCTGCTGGTACTGATGCAGCTTCCTTAGTAGCTCCAGGCAATGCCCGTGTCTTTCTCTCTGGGCTGACAGATCTTGTTGATTTATCTGGGCTGTCCAAAATGTTCTTGAACATGTTAGAAGTGCTTGAACTAGAACCGTTCAAAGTTTTCTTGTTGCTGTTCTTGCCATCTTCAATACCTTCAGGATCATTTTGAGTCAAATAAACCTCGGCTCTTCTCTTCTTGCTGCTACTAGTGTCAACTTCCTCGTTCTTCTTGCTGTTACCGCGGTCAACTCCTTGGTTGTGATTCGACTGCTCAGGTCTTCTCTTCTTGTGTCCACCACTTTCTCCACCAATTTCCGATTGAGTTTCACTTCTTCTCTTTTTACTTGGAGTTCGTTCTGGAGCTGCACTTCTGGAAGGCGATTTACTTGGACTGGATGAACGGCCAGGCTGAAGTTTTGGCGCTTTCAATACCGAATTGCTATTGACGTCAAACTCGGAATCATTTGTCGCACGTGAGCGATGTCTTTCTGGACTACGAGTACTTCGCGATCGCTTTTCTGGGCTGGGAATACGATGTGAGCGTTCTCTATCTGGTCTAACTCGCTTTTGAGGGCTCATGTTTTCTTGATTCTCGTCATTCTCAAGATCAGCCTCTGTTCTGTCTCGCTTGTTGGAAATGTGATCAATGTTATATTCTGCAAGAATCTCTCTCTTTTTGGCTTCCATCCATGCCAATCCTTTGGATGGATCTGCTCCAGGAGGCAAATGCTGGAAGTAAGCTGCCATTGATCTTTGCACAGATGCAATGCGCCAAAGTGCTTTGAACTCTTTTCTTTGAACCGTGTTGAAGTTAACAGGCATATTGGTATCCATCTCCATGTCTGTGGGTTCAGAAACTTGGAACTCAAAATCGGACAATCTACCAGGAGCAAGTGCTCTCTTAACAGGAGCAAGTGCTTTGTTATTGGACAGTGGAGATTGCGAAGATGAGTCTGTAGGAGCAGTCAGAGCCATTGAGTGTGAATCGGAGCCGTTGCTCAAAGATCCGTTAGAGGGTTGAGCATCTTGCGTCTTGGAAGATAAGCCACCAAACAGGTTGCTTGTAACGGGTTGTGCTGCATCTGTTGGGGTGTCTACCGATTTGAAAGAAAAAGGTTTGTTGAAACTAGACGCCTCAGCAGTACCGCGAATCTTGAATGAAGATTCAGGTTGGCTCGTCGATGGAGCAGCGAACTGTGGAATCTTAGCTTGAATTTCTTTATCATTCAATGAATCAGGAGGAAAACTTACACCTTGTTCTTTGGTTGCACCACCCAGTTGATGTTCTGTTGAAGAATTTGGCTTGCCAAAGCTTGCGAAGAGAGCATTTGGAGTCTGGGCAGATGCCTTCTCTGGCGAACTGTAAGTTGCATTTGATTCGAAGAGTTGTTGGCCGGCCGGTCTGTTCGGACTGAACAAATCAAGAGTTTGCTTGTCTTTTGGCTCTTCTGTAGATTTTGATCCAAATAGATTGTTGCTTTGGCCATTGATCTGGTTATTAGGGTTGAAGAGATTTGGAGTTGATTCTGCTGGTTTGCCAAAGCCGGTAAAAGGTGTTGAAGAGGCAGGCGTGGCTGGGGGATTGGCGAAGATATTCGACGTGCTCGAAGAAGTTGGGGTCGAATCAGTAGGCTTGAACCCACCAAAGAGTGAATTGCTTGAAGTTGAAGGAGTCGACTCGGCAGGCTTAGGGCTACCAAACAATGAATTGCTTGGAGCTGTTGGAGCTGTCTCGGCAGGTTTGACACTACCAAAGAAGGAAGTGTTTGAAGTAGATGGCATCGACTCTGCAGGCTTGACACTCCCAAAGAATGAGTTGCTGGAAGCAGCTGGGGTTGCCTCGGCAGGTTTGGCAGCACCAAAAAGTGGAGCGTTCGAAGCAGTCGCAGGAGGAAATGACGAGTTAACACTGCCAAACAAATTGGTGGTGGTTGGTGCTGATGTAGTGGGGAATGAAGCAGAAGTGCTTCCAAACAAATTCGTGGTGCTTGGAGCAGCTGAAGTTGCAGGGAAGGATGAGGTGAAAGAGGAAGACGGAGCAGATGTGGTTGCAGTAGTGTTGCCGAACAAGCTCTGAGAGTTTGAAGGTGCAGCATTGGTAGAACTGAGACCAGTAAAGCTCGCATTGACTTGATTACCGAAGCCACCACCAAAGGAACCGCCAAATGAGTTATTTTGCGCACCAAAAGAATTGTTAGTATTGTTCTGCCCGAATGAGGTACTCGAATTTTCCTGTACAAATTGATTTTGGTTAGCATGATAGTCCGCAAGCATATGACCATTGCCAAAGATGGATTCCGTTGGTCTGGCCGAGAAACCTCCACGATAATTAATGTCGGCGGACAATCCTAGTTGACCCATGGGATATTGAATTTGAGAAGGTTGTACTGGCGCTTGCCCAGCTTCTGGAGGATACTCGACTTTGTAGTTGCCAAACATGTTTCCAGCGTCTTCGTTTGAATGAAAGAACTGTTGATCAAAGGTTGAATTTTCGGGTTGGTGATTAGAAAAGGTTGTTGGGGAGTTATTGAAACCAAAGAGAGTTTGAGAAGGATCGGAATAAGAATTACTTGCTTTTTGATTTTCAGTGGCCTTTGAAAGTGAATTTGCACCAAAACTCAAAGAATTTTCTACCGAACCTGAATTTGTCGCACCGAAATTGAAGGCTGGGGTGCTGTTATTCACTGGAGCTTGTGACGAGGAACCAAAGGCAAAAGTAGGATTACTATTGTTATCCGCCCCTTGAGATGTAGGTGTAAAATTGAAGCCACCGAAACCTGAAGTTGATGTTTGATTCTGCGGAGTTGAAGATCCAAACTGGAATCCAGCTGCGTTCGACTGCGTCGCGTTTGCTGCACCGAACATATTTTGTGGTTGTGTATTATTGGAAGAACCTGAAGTATTTGATTGCTGTTGTTGATTATTATGATGGAATGGAGAGTGTGAAGCAAATAAGGCTACCTCATCTTCACCAGCTGCTCTAAAGCCACCGCTGAATATCTTGCCTTTTCTTAGAGCTTCTTCGCCTGTTGTATCTGCACGTGGGTCATCGTGGTTGGTTGATGCAGCGGATTGTGCGAACGGATTTGGCGTCGAGTCTCCAAATGAAGGATTGAAAGATGGTGTTCCAGCCGGCGCTGAAAAGTTGAATGCACCGGGCGCAGCTACACTTCCACCAAACAGACCACCACCGCTTCCACCGCCAACGGCAGCATTATTGTTAGAGTTGTTGCTTTGTAAGGGTGGAAAGCCACTGCCTTTTTGGCCTGCCAATCTGCCTCTAGGCTTCGCTTTGATGCTGCGTGCTGCCAGCTGAGCAGCATTTGCCTGTTGCGGTGAATTCATCGCAAAGGTAAGGCTGAGAATTTAGATGACGCGACTTGGTGATCGACAGAACCGAGGATCAATGATTACAATGATTGTCGCGTCCTCTCGGATGGAGTCGATAAATCTTGAATCGCCAGGGAAACAAGATTGTTGGAAGTGTTGTCAAAAGAATGCGCAAACTCGAGATGAAGAAGTTGTCTTCAAATGAGTGTTGGGTATTTAGGGATGTCGCATGCGAAAAATGTGGGATCGAATGCAAAGACTTGAAATAATTTATTTAAGCATGCAGTATTCTTTAAACCTAATGTTGATTGAAAAATGAGTTGTCGCGTTTTTATCGTGATTGTCGAAATAATTGTGAATAGAATGGGGATAGAATAGAAGAGACTCGAGTTATAAAGAAAATGGCGACTATGTAAATAAATTGATGTCGGTACGGCGCGATATTTAGCGGAAGGAGAGAAATTTGATTTGTTTGATTCCTGAGGCATTCAATCTACTTATGTCCCCATACTACAACAACAACAATAACACGGATGAGTGCGGCAAAATTACCTAGGTAACTGTATACGGTCATTGTATCAAATTGAGTCTCTACTCCAATGACAGAAATGTACGGTTCTACGGTCCAAGAGTACACAGCCTTACAATATTCACTCAATATAGATCGGTACCTATCCCACATTGGATTGGAGGAATGCGATGATACATATCTGCACGTGACTGAATATTGAAATTCAGCTGGTGAAACAATCTATACATCACAATCTATATTTTCAAGCCACAGTATACAACTCCAAGCTACTACGTATACATACATGGCTGCTGAACATGGTAGACCAGGTGGTACATCTCTGAATAAAGAAGTATCATGGCAGAGAGCTCATTCCCATTACGGCAAAGATCTGGACCAACAAAAACTCGAGCAGATGACCGGAGAACAATATGTCTGAGAACTTTACAGATCGCAGTGGGTTTCCATTTTTTACAACGAAGAAACTGTTTCTTGATGGCAGATACGAGATCTCCTCTCGTACTCATAGTAGGGATCAGGAAGACAGGCTCCGGCGTCAAATTGGAACGAATGACTCTTTTGTGTTTATTGCTAGTTGCAAGCACATCAGTGAGAAGACGCCCTGAGCGTCGGTGGTATTGGCCAAGATTAATTTGAAGTTGTTGCTGCGAATGTTTCTAATCTCGTCCAAGGTCGATTGGGTTCAAACCCCCATTCTACTTGATCAAATTTGACTTCAAAGTATCCAGGTATTGGAAGATTAGCCTATCTAATACGGATATATTCGGACTTTCATCCACGTTCTAATCCATCCATGGATGTTCTACTCCATGTATACGGATCTAGTGTTCCAATAAACTACATACATTCTGTGGGCTACAAGCATGGATTAAACCATATGCTCATGACTTTGCTCAAACATGTTGGTAAGATAGTTGTTGGAGGTGGATCAAGTTCTTGATAGTACTATGGATATACTAAGTGAACACTAGGAGTTCTGTACTAGTGCAGAAATTAGTAGCAGGCGTCGCTACTCCCAGCACCTACGAAATGCATCTAACATTTGTAAATTACAACGCCTTATGTCGACGAGATGAGCCTCGCAGAGAATTAATGACATGATGATATCCACACGGATCATAATTGAGAACTGGCTACTTATCTAGACTAATTCCCAGAAATGATCTAAACCTACTACTTCTGCCCTCCAATTCCCATCTTCAGAAAATCTGTCTTCTATTTCCACCCCATTCTCAAATCGAACATGCCAAGTGCACCTCCATTTACTCTTTTTGGTGGCGCTTCATTTGGAGAAGGTCGTTTTGCAACAGCCAAAGATGTTCAACAACTACTGGCTCTTTTGACCACCTTGGAAATTGGTCATATTGACACCGCCGTCATCTACCCTCTTATCTCGCAGGGAAAGTCGGAACAGCTTCTTGGTGAAAACCATGCCGATCATAGCTTTGCTATCGATACTAAGATCAAGCTTGCGGATTTCTCCGTTAAAGGCTCATTGACGGCATCGGCAATCAATGAAAGTGTCGCGGAAAGTTTGTCTCGTATCAAGGGAAAGGTAAAATCCCCATTTTGTCCGTTGGTCTTTTACCATGGCCCATAATATACTCACCCACTTGCTCATGTCAGATTAATGTCTTGTATTGCCACGTTCCCGATTCATCAACCCCGATCAGCGAAACGCTTGCTACTCTTCATGAACTTCATCGGCAGAATAAGTTCCAAAAGGTTGGGTTATCCTAGACTCCCCAAACCCCAAACACTAGCTAACACAAGATAGCTTGGAATATCCAACTTTTCTGACGCACAGGTCCAAGAGCTTCTTGAAGTATGTGAAAAGGAAAGCTACACAAAGCCTAGTTACTACCAAGGACAATACAATGTACTTTGCCGTGAAGCAGAAGTGCAACTTCTCCCACTCTTACGCCAGCAAAGGATATCATATATTGCTCATAGGTACGAGGCACTTCAGTCTTCATGATAACTTGGTTAACTAACATGTCTTTGAACAATGCAGTCCGCTTGGAGGAGGATTTTTGACCGGAAAATTCACATTGGGCACAGACGTCGCTGGGACCCGATTCGAAGATGGTAATGCAAAGGGAGAGTTTTTTTAAGAGGAGGTATGATAATGGACCTACGCACTCAGCCATGAAGGAATTCATCACATTGCTTGAGCCCTACAGTATCACCCCCTCAGAAGGGGCCCTGAGATGGGTTTACTACCATTCAGCTCTCCAATAAGGTGATGGTGTAATACTAGGAGCTAGTAAGCCAGCGCAAATCTCTCTTAGCGCTGCTGATATCGCAAAGGGGCCTCTGCCTTTGAGCGTGGCCGAGACCATGGAAACAATGTGGAAAAATATTCAAGCACAGATGTAGAACAACAGTACATGAAGTAAATTGGTAGGAAATGGTGATGATTCCACATGATTCATCATTATTGTAAGTGGTTGGAAGATTATAACAGAATTGAGCCAACTCTGCATGTGTTGCTATTTGGGTATCACACCGCGCCGTACCGTGCTGTGCTTTGCCGCATCGATGTGGCGCATTCACATACAATCGGAAGTAATCTTGCGAGAGTACCATACAACTTTTTTTGTTATGCGGCACCCAACAGCTCACGCCCACCCCCCTCTCCATTTCGGTCAACTCAACATATCTACACATAATCAACTCACTGCTCACAATGACTAGGCAGAAAAGAGGATGAAGACATTTTCTTATCAGCTCATGATAAACAATCAAAGTAACGTGTGCAACAATTCAGGATATCTCTACAAAAGCAGACTAAGATTGACTGCATAAGGGACAACTATATGCACCATGTTTAGAAAGTTTTGACCTCGAAAAAACTATGGAAAAAGATACTTTTATCACAAAACAAGGGTGTCAGTCGTAACAGGACAATAGGCTCTTCCTCTACGAAGGACCATGTGCTCAAGATCGCTCTGTAAGTCTAGCTTACATTCACAACCTTGGTTCAAGCGCTACCACTAAACGTTCAATGGGTACAGCCGCAACCGACGCTCTTCGATTTGGTAATTCGACAGGCCGGAATACTCTAGGGCTAGACTTTTTGTCTTCAGCTGAATATGATCGATGATGAGGTAAAGGATGCATGTGTACGCGAAAGTTGCGGATTACTTGTGATATAAACAGAAAAGTTCCAAATATGCAAAGCTTTATAATAAATTCATATTAGTCTCAAGTCTAGGTAGTATCGAAGGAAAAGTGGTGGACTTACTATGCGCCCATGCAAATATTCGCACGCTTGGAGAATGGTATGTAGAACTTATCCCGTTGAGGATCATCTCTAACTTTCGATCCATCAGACATAAGCCATCGGTACGGATCAACTTCTTTTGGCCTTAGAAATGCGACTGAATTGTGAAGATACCAAATTGGGGATGAGCTGATTACTGTCTACAACAGAAATCTGGGTTAGCGTTCATTGAGAACTTATGAGCGGGAAAGGGAACCGAGGCTCCTTACCTTTTCCGGTAAAAAGTGCACATAGAATTCTACTTCACCCTCAGGTACAAGACGAGGAAGCATGGCGGCAGCTGCACCAGTCCATCCAATGCCTTCTTTTACACAGGCCCGTAATCTGGGTATACCCTCTAAAGTTGTCATATCCGTGGAAAAACTCACCACGGCAAGATCCTGGAACAGCTCTTCTTGAAATCCAGGATTACTTCCTAAAGCCCACAGTATGTGAGCTAAAGTCGCCGAGGCTGTATCCGTGTCTGGACCTAGATTTTCTGTCGCTTCTGACAAGGCTGTGGAAGAAGGTAGGTTTGAATTGACCATGGTCTGGATCAAAATTGGGAAGGGAGATGTCGGGTTTTCCTGATATGCGTTGTCTGATAGCGTTGTGCGCCAACTTTTCTCTGTCCACTAATAGAAGCTAAGTATTGATAGAGTGGAATTGTATCCATGGAAAGATACTTGCCTGATGAAAATCAAGCATTGCTTTGTTATATAGGGTCCTATAGTCTGTTATCAGAGCCACAAGTTGTGCCGTCCGTTACCATGTATTGCACAACCCCGGAAAACCAGTTAGCTATCCGAAAAGTTAGTATGAAATTTTTTGGAGCTGGCTCGACTTGAGCTTACCAGAGGGATCCAAGTCGCTTTTTCATCATTTTTTGCTATCATGTCAAGTTCAGCTCCTTGAACGTATACATAGAGAGCACCGATCGTATGACCAAATGAAAAATCAGCTGGATGGTTTCCATCAGCATGATTTTCCCAAAAAGACTTCTACAGGCAGTAATACACATGATATCTGCTTCGAGTGCGCGACACACTGGCAACAAATTCACCCTATCTCTGCTTGATGCAACAGTTCGCACAAAATGGTCGATATGATGCAACCTCAGTCCTTTTAAATTATGCATTTGGCTAGGGTTAAACAATTGACCCATAGGACTTCTGCGTTTCGAATGCTTCACAGGGCCACTGAGAATATTAGTTTATTTCCGATTATTGAGTTCGTAATAATCATACGTTATTGAGAACAAAGCCGGACTACCACCTTGTACAAATTCCCCATACACCCGCGAATCTTTCTAAATCTGCTATTCACCTTGTGAACTGCATCATGCATTTCCATGGAGTAGAATAGAAAGCCCATAACAGGCGAGAGTACGGTGCACCTACCCCTGCATTAGGGATAGATGACAAAGTTTAGACTTTTGCAAAATTATCATAGGGAAGAAAATTGTATTACTTACGATAAGGCAAAGTCCGACAAGGATAAGTGCCGTGCATTCAGAAAGGAGAGAGAGTGGGAGCGGCATCTTTTCTTGACCCAAGTATTCTGATCTCTTTTCAGAAAACTTGCAAGAGACAGAGACATCAGCCGCGAAAAATTGCAAAGTAGTTCTTGTAGTCTGCGACGTATCAGCTATCATAACTCATATCATGCTACCCTTCGCTGTAGCATTCATGTCCCTCATCTCTACTACCAGAATACCATTACATCAGCAGCTACCTACAAACTCATCTATCTTGAACATCTTTTCTGCATACTTAAGATCTTTTCAAAATCAGTTTGGAGTCTAGGTAGGCTTAATAAACCGTTTCAAGCTATTACAATGCTTTAGAATGCGCGGGTGCTAATGATTTTACATTCGCCATACATCTAGCCCGTAGAAGTAGATAGATACGCTTGACTATACATGCGTCTGTGATCACTGCGACAACTATCTTACCGTTGATTTCTTAGTGTGAGTTATTCCCGCTGAGAAATGGCTCCCAAGTCAACGTATTCAAGAGAGGCTAGAAGTGCGTGGTGCGGGAAATTTGGTGGAGAAAATTAGGGAATGAGAAGATGTTTGTTTTATTCGTGATTGCAAAAATGTGGCTCTATTTGGCTTGTAAAACAATGTAAAGCCAAATGAACCTCGCAGATCCTTCTTCGTTTTCTTCTACAGTTTATCTCTGAATCTTTGTAATAATACAGCTTGAGTATGTGAGTGAGACTTTGACAGTTACTTTACTTTACTAAAGGTTCCATTAAAATAATGCGTGACTTTTTTTTTTACCCCCTCTCCCGGGCCTCCCCCCTCCCTCCCTCTCTTAAGCGACGGCACTACTTCCAGTCTTTATAGTTCCCACAATGACCTAATCCCCATTACAAATCCCATTCCCATCCCCATAATCAAAAAACCCCATCGTCCCCCGAACCTTCTTTGTCTCCACCCCTCCAGACCAAACTCCGCTTCCAACTCCCTCCTCAAAGCGACCTCCCTTTCCAAATATATTTCAACATACAAATACACCTCAATGGCCAAATATACTCTTATATCTAAATATACCTCAATATCTGTATACCTCAATATCTATAAATAATTTAATATCCAGATAATTCTTAATATCTAAACAACTCAATATCTAAACACCTCAATACTCAAACACATCTCAATACCCAAATCCATCTCAAAGCACCAATAACCAATCCACCAATCAACAACCCCCTTCCTATCATTCCCCACCACATTTCCATATGCATCAATCCAATCTCCCACCACAAGAAAACCCCAGTATCCTACATACCTAAAATTACCGCAAAAAAACCCGCTAGAAGCAAACTCAATGACTTTTCAAATTTCAAATTTCCAATCGAGAAAATTCAATTCTTCATCCGACAATCGATATTCATCTAGGAGCCCAGTAACCTTTCTCTCACCTATTGATAATTGAGATACGTGTGTCGAAATTTAGGTATATAAAGGTATAAAATTCGTGTTTATCACGTAATTATACTAGAAAATATATATATACCACGTGATATATATAGTACTAGGACACAGATAATGACCGCTTGCCTTGATTATACTAAAAAACATCTCACTACGATTTAATATATCTCGTATAATGATTTATTAATATTTATAATCATATTTTTCAATTGAAACTTTTCAAATAAATTATTTATATAATAAAGACTTATATTTTTTTATTTTTTTATTTTAATGTAAATTATAAAATGAATATTTTATAATTGGAATAAAAACTTATATAATTTTCGCTTATTTTATTAGTAAATTTTAGAAATTTTAAATTACTATAACGTAGTTTATTATTGAGTAGATTACTTCAAGATATACTAAAATTAGTCTTTTTCTAATATTTAAAAATTTAATAAATAATTAATATTTTTGAAAAAGAAAAAATGATTTATTAATAAGAAAAAATCTTTTATGAAAACATTTAGTTTTTAAATAAAAAAATTTAATATATTCTATAAAAAGTAAAAATTATTATGATTTTCATTATAAAAAAACTATTTCTATAATAACTACTATATAGATTCAAATTTTCAAAAAAAAAAAATTATAATATTTATATAATTAAATTTTATAGTTTCAAATTTTGAAAAATATATTATTAAATAAAGAAAGTATATAATTACGTATAAACGAATTCATATATATTTAAAGTAATTTACTCGATGATAAACTACCTTATTTCAAAACTATATAACTTATTCAATAAAAATCCTAAAAATAAACTATTAATTTTTTTGAAATTCATAATTAGAACTTAATAGAATTCTGTAAACATATACAACAAATTCAAATATAATTGTATTTAAATTCATTCATTTTAAGGATGAATTTTAGTGTGATTTAGATGATCGGTTATTATCTATATACAGTGACTGTAAGAGTAAGGGTGCGTTCGGATTTACTTTTTTGAAATTATTAAAGCTTAATTATTAGTCAATTTTATTTGTCAAATAATTCAAATAACTTCAAATATTTTATTAGAGTATATGTGCTGTTTGGATTAAAATAAATTATATAAAATATTATCTCAATATTTGAAATTTGATGAGTTATTAGAAATCCTAATAAATTTCAATTCCTAATATATTTGATTTGATATAGTGTTTGATAAATATTAATATATTTGAGTAATATTTAGATTATGTGTTATATACTTATAATTATATATGATATGTTTTTAGATAATAAAAATAGATAAATTATATTATTAAATAATTTATTAATTTCTTAATATTTTATATTTACCTCGATTTATTTTAACCTTTAATTCCCAACCTCTAACCTTTAATCCTTATCTTTATTATTATTATAAATAGTTCTCGAGATATGTTAGTATTATTAATAACTTTATCGATTGTATTTGTTATATCTATTATATTTATTGTATTTATTGTATTTATTGTGTTTGTTATATTTATTAAAGATCTGATTATTTTTATAGAAATAGCTTTTCAACAATTAATAATACAATTACTATAATTATAATTAATAAATCGGGTACCCTACTTTCGGGCCACCCCTGTTTTGGGCCACTCTTTACCACTAAAAATCTCAAAAAATGGAATTTTTAACTTTCTTATTTATAAATAGAATTTATTGAAAATTTATGTATATATAATTCAGATTGTTTTGAATCTAATCTGAAAATTTTAGATTTTTAGGATTTTTCTGTATTAAAATCTAGAGCTTTAAAATATCGATTTTTTAATTTATATAAGAATTATATACAAATTTAAAACTTTTATAAAATCTTTAATAACTTTTTAACAACAATCATCAAAAGAAAACTATATATCTTTTTGAAAGTTTTGAGCTTAAATCTATATAGAAATTCAAAAAAAAAATTCAAAAAAATTAACAAATATAAAGATATAGTATACAATGAGTTTGAAGTAGTATAAATAATCCCTACAATTTTGAGGGTATTCTTTTAAATATCTATTTATAGGAAATTTTCTTTTTTTCTGAATCCTTCAAGATAAATATGTTATAAATTTATAATAAAATTTTATAGTTTATTTTTAATAATTTTTATTAAAAAATTATTAAAGATTTTATAAAAGTTTCAAATTTATATGTGATTCTTATACAAATTTAAAAATCGATATTTTGAAGCTCTAGATCTCAATATAGAAAATCCCTAAAAATCTGAAATTTTCAAGGTAAACTAAAAATGATCTAAATTATATATATATAAATTTTCAATAAATTCTATTCATAAATAAGAAAGTTAAAAATTCCATTTTTGGTGTAAAAAGTGGCCCGAAAGTAGGGTACCCGACTTAATATTATCCTTATCAACTTAATAAACTATTATAATCGAATTCTAATTTAGTTAATATAAATAAATCGAAAGCTCTTTTCCTAATATCGATTTCGAATTTTTAGAAGAATTAATTAATCCTAATCTTGATAATACTCAATCCTCTCGAATACTTATTATCGATTTATAATTTATTTTTTAATTAATATAATCTATTACTTTATTTATTTTACTAATACTTTTTCAATTTAATTATAATAATATTATTTTTATATTTTGATTTGATAATATTATATTCTCTTGATTTAGTAAATTATATCTCGATAATTTATTAATTATATTTCCAAGTTTAAAACCATAGAATACTATCGAACTTTCTATTATTAAAAGTAAAGCTATTAGGTTTATATAAAATAATATTCTATTTATAATTTATATATAAACTTATAAATGATAGATTCGAGAAGGAGAGTGTATTGAAATATAATTAAAAAATAAAGTCTAATTCTTGATTATCTTAATTATTTAATTTTATTATCCTTAAGATTATAAAATTATAATAGCTAATTATAAAGTTAAATAGATAAGCTGAAAACAAATATATTAAATATATATTAAAATCCATAATATATCTAGAATAGGTTGATAGGAAAATATATAATTATTTTAAATTTCTAAATAAATCTGGAATGATATTATCGTTAAATATAAATCTTGAACTCTATAAAAGAATAAACAAATCAAATATATTAAAAAGATATATTTTATATTTAAAAGGAAATATGTAATAAAAAAGAAAATAAATAATATTATAGCTATTATTGAATTTACAAACAGAATTACTATTAATAAATCTTTCAACAATAAATTTCTTAAAAATATAATAAATATATAAAGAACTCTAATAAATATTGATAATCTCTTTTTATTTAACAATAATAAAAATGTTACCCCTGAATACAAAGCTTAGTTAAACAAAATCTTTATAGAAAAAGTAATTTTTAAGAAATTTATTAAACCAAACATTTAACCACCAACCACTTTTTCTATATCATTTACTTTAAGCTTTACATTATCAATTCCTTCTAAAACTCTTTCTTTTAAAAAATATATTATAATCAAACTCAACCAAACTGAATTATTTATTAACTATCTTTAAAATGAATATTAATAATAAGGAAAGGTTAGTATTATCTTGAATTAATTTATGTAAGTAATTATTTAAGGTAATAAGGAGATTTATACTTTTTATATTACTTAAGCTAAATAATTTGAATAAGAATATAATTATACTTAATCTATATTGATATAAGTTATTAAATAAATATTCAAAGATTTCTTTAATCTTAAGGATATTTTGAATAAAATCTAATACAAAGTATTATTAAAGGTATTAAATCAAATAAATAAAAACCTTAAAGATTTAAGACTTATACAAGCTTATCTTTATATAAATATAAATAAAAGGATTAAAACTGAAATAATAATAGAATTGATTATAATTCTAGGATATAATTTAATTATCCATTAAAATAAAGATTCTGATAAATAGTCTTTCGTTTATAAATTAGAGAAATATAATTCTATTATAAAAGAATCTTATATTTAAGAAAAGTGTTTATGTTTTTAAAGATGTTATGGCTTTTTGATTTGAAATGATATTTAAAGTTTAAAAAGGTATTAAAACATTTTTGATATTTATATTTTATAAATATTCAATCCTTTCTTTTATATATATATACAGTATAATTATTATAAAATCAATACAATATATATAGAAATCCAAATATAAATAGAATAACTACAAATGTTTATTCCAAAAGCCTTTTTATTATTATTATTATATATTTTACTTATTATATTAATACTTTTTATATTAGTTTTTTAATATATTATTTTCATATTATTTTAACTATTTTACTTTTAAACTTTTTTATTATTATTTCCTTTAAAGATTTATTAATTAAAGATAAATCTAAAGTTTCTTTATTATTATTGATTTTATTAAAATGTTTTTTTATTTCCATCTCATTTTCAAATAAATCCTTTACCTTATATTATTAAATAAAATTATATATTCCTAGATATATAAAGACAATCTACTTTTGAACTTCGAATTTATATAAAAACTTTTTATCAAAAATCTTAAATTACTTTTTAAGAATACCAAAGATATATTCAATTATATTACAAGCATTAAAATATTATAAATTGAACAATTCCTTTTTGTTCTTTAAAATCAATATAGAAATAGTTTATTCTTAAAGATAATATTATACTTCTTAATAAGGTATAAGGAATAGCCAATAATTTGTATAACCTACATTTATAAAATAGAAATAATCTAATAATACTAAAAAACGCTTTTATTTATTATATCTTTTAATACTTATATATTATAAATACTCTCTTTTTAATCTAAAAATATATATAAAAATTGAAGATTAAAAGTATAAACACTAAGTACATTTTGAGTAAGAGTTTCCTTTCAATTCTGAAATAATATAGTATTAATAGTTTTTTGCTAGAAATAAATATCTATATTATTGAAAACTTCGAGATATTTAGTAAAGAATGGAAAGTATTTTTTATTAAAAACAATTTTGAAATACTCAAAAGAATTAATGGGATTTGAAAGTTTTATTTCTTTAGTATATAGTATCAATATAGCCTGAAATACTTAATAAAAATAAAAATATATAGTAGATTTTGATTAATTAAAGAACTCTTGAATATCAGCTATACTAACTTTTGTGTTTAAAATAAACAATATAATTACAAGTTTCTCTTTAATAATAACATTTTTAAAACTCTTTAATTTTGTCTTTTAAAGATAAAAATTATACAATTTAAAAAAAATAAGTTTTACCATTCGAAAATTATTATTAACATATATATTATGATTTTGATTTAAAATATTTTTGAGACAATCATTATTATAGATTTTGCTACCCTTTTTTTATATAGTTATATATCAATTCTTTAAAATAATATTTAAATATATAATTTTTCTATATATAATGTAATATTATTTTCAATTTTAATTAATAAATAAATTGTAAATATAGATTGTATTTATATTAAGCATATTTATTTCGTTTTTTAAAAGATATTTAAATAATAGAAGTTGAAAATGATATGATTTGATAATAATAATAATAAAATGTATTAATAATAATAGAAAAAGAATATAATAATAATGAAGGGGTAAAAAGAAAAGTTAGATAATAGGATTTTTATAAAAACAATGTAAATAAAAATAATCGAAAATATTAAAAAAGTATTGAGATATTACTTTTCTTTTAAATATTAATTATAAAGCTTGAAAATCAAGTTTTATAGTTATTGTATGGGAAAAGCTTAAAATATTTGTAAAATAATTATTTAAATTTAAATATTTCCTAATAATTTATTTTATTATATATCACATTCAATAAATACTATTATTTGATAAATAAATGAAATCAAATAATTTCAAATATTTTTTCAAATTCTTAAATCCGAAATAAATATTTCATTATATATCGTATTCGATAAACATATTATTTTATATTATTTGTCAAATAAATATTACCTAATAATTGAAATAAAGTGATCCGAACGCACCCTAAGTATCTGATAATAATAGTAGTGAGTACCTACCAAAATATTCAAGAATCCAGACAGCAAGCAGTCCCCCAACAAAAGATGATTCGAATCAGCAAACAAATTGGAATATCTGGAATGATAATCATTCGAGATATTGCATAGGATTGGGTTACCCACTGGACTATTTTTAAATTGCCATGTGCTTTGAGATATTCAAACGAGGTCCTGGTATTGGGGGGCTGCAGTTCGGATTATTGGATATCCTGTGGGACGAGATATTGATTATACTGACATATGAACATCAGTGATCAGTGACAATGAACTCATTATACAAATACAAACATGAAACTTCTCACCTCTGCATGGAAAAATGTATACCATATCCAATACTATGAAATTCAAGAGTTTGTCAATCTCTCTAGGATCGATCCGAAACCGAGTCCAAATATCTAATCTATCTATTTACATTCATTCTCCTTCCCTTTCCCCCAACCCCTCACTGCAAATTAACAAACATCCCTCCATCCACTAAAAGTCCACTCCCATTCACAAACCCACTCAACTCCTCACTCGCCAAAAAAACCGCCGGCCCCGCCAAATCCTCAGGAACCCCCGTTCTCCCCAACGGAATCCTCCCTTCCGTATATTTCCTCTTCTGCTCATCTTTCAAATCCTCCTCGTTCAATTGCGTCCGGATGGTTCCGGGCAGGAGCGCATTACATCTAATACCGTATTTACCCAGCGCACACGCCATACTTTGCATGAGGGAGAGAACACCGGCTTTGGTGGGTGTATAGTGGGTTTGCTGTGCGCCGCCTACGAGGGCGGAGATGGAGGACATGGCGATGATGGAACCGCCGGGGGGAGATTGAGAGGACATTTGACGGGCGGCGGCTTGGGAGGTGTAGAAGGCGCCGTCGAGATTGGTGCGGACCGTGTGGGAAAAGAGATCGGGCTCTAGTCTATTGAATTTGTTAGTTTCGGTTTCTTTACTCTTCCTTCCTTCCACCCCCCCCAAATCCTCCAAGCAAACAAACAAATAAAACTCACTCCAAAAACTCCGCAAACCGGCAAACCCCCGCATTACTAACAAAAACATCCAATCGTCCCCATTTCTCCACCGCCCTCTCCACCAATTCCCTCCCCGTCTCCGGTTTACTAACATCTCCGGGTACATCTAACAATTCTCCCGCCTTCTCATTTTCTTGCACCAGAGCTTTCGCTTCCATCCGCAGCGATTCCAGATGTGGAATATCGGAGTCGAGACCAAGATGATTGACTGCTACATTACAGCCTTGACGAAGATAAAGGAGGGCAATTGCGCGGCCGACTGCAGGAGAAAAGAAGTGTTAGTTGAGGTATTAAGAAAGGGAGTTTTGGGCAATTGGAGAAAACGCACTTCCTGTGGTTCCACCGGTGATAGCGGCAGTTTTGCCGGCGAGAAGGTGCACGCCTTTGAGACTCATGGTTTGTATGTAGAGCCTAAGAAGGTTGTAGATGTGCAGAATCTATATGTATGTGTAGGATGATATGAATGTTAAGTGTTTACTGAAATGGTGGGGTATCTGGGGAATGAAGCTCGTGATGAGTATACGAAATGATTGTTTTCATCAAAGATGGTAAAGTATGTTAATTGGTGTAATGTAAAGAGTAGATACAAAGTGACTTCATGTGAGATGTATCAAATAATTTCAGTATAAATTGGCGTTGTGTTGTCAGGGAATCAATAGTTTCAAAGATTAGGCCCTTGTCAGTACCTAGTGGAAGGACCCCCGCGATTCGGTTCTCGAGTTAAAGAACACCGAAGCCGAAGAGGTGTGTAAAACGTGGGGCAAGTTGGCCGTCCACATGTTCTCACAAGGTTTTATCAGGTTTATGTAAATTTGTAAATAATACTCTAATAAGAAGCCTTGGATTATGATCATACGGAAAAAAGAATAACATTGCATTGCATTGTATAAATTAAAAGGCTAATAAAAACAAATTGGCTATGATTCAAACTATGGACTTGACAAGTTCTTGGTTTCTTCCACCACTTCATTCACAACACCCTAATTTTCAGACTTCTTTTGCTCAACTGCTGGTTGGCCAAGAGGTCTCTCTGGGTTTGGTGTTAAGAGGTATTGTGCGGGAATAAGTCGTGCAGCTGGGTTGAGGGTCAAACCAAAACCTGGCTTGTCGAGTTGCGAAACATCCAGGTATCCTTTCACTGGGATTGGTTCATCCAAGAATAAATCTCCAAAGACGGGTAGGACACTCTTTCCATCTGGTGAATTTGCAAGGTACTCTTGGAATGGACAATTTGTTTGAGAAACCACAAAATGGTAACTGTAAGGTCCACTTGCATGTGGTACCACCGGAATATCATAAGCGGCCGCCATTGCTGCAACTTTGAGCAATTCCGTCATGCCTCCAAGCCACATAACATCAGGTTGAATAATATCGAGATTTCGACCTTCGATAAGTTTTCTAAATCCATATCTCGAGTATTCATGCTCACCCGTGGTGAACTTGAGTTGTGGATGAGCTTGTTTGATTTGCGCAAATCCATCAGTGTCATCTGGAGATAAACACTCTTCCCACCAATTGATATTTAAATCTTTGCAAGCTGCAGCAATTTGAATAGTGTATGGAACATTGAGACTCATGTAACAATCGACCATAAGTGGGAAATCAGGGCCCACACTTTCTCTATGTTTTCTGAGGAATTCAACGTTCTTTTGGAGTCCCTTGTGGCCCTCTTCTGGACAATATGGCAGTGGAACTTTAGCACCCCAGAAACCCATGGCCTTTGCGGCAGTGGGTTCTGGTCCTGTGCAATAAAAGTCTAGCCTCTCCCTTGTAGCTCCTCCAATCAACTTGTATACTGGCTCTCCTCTGATCTTTCCGAGTAAATCCCAAATCGCCAAATCGATAACTGAGATGACAGCGACTGGGAGACCCTTTCGACCATAAAACATGGAACCTCTGTACATTTGTTCGAAGAGATGATTGGTATCTCTTGGATCGGCACCGATAAGGAATCTTTCGAAATGTTGGTGAACTAACCAACATGCTGGTGGACCTACGAACATATGGTGAGTCTTGACCGGCGAGACAGGAGATATTAACAATTACCTCCAAATCCTGTAGCAAATCCAATTGTGCCATCTGAACCTTCTATCTCGACACAGAAGGACCCTAGCACGTTGATACCCCAACTAGTTCTTGAAGCTCTGTAATTTTCCCATCTTGACATAGGTGTGGAAATTGGAGTATCAATCAACCTGATAATAATTAGTACAAGTCATGAGGTGTATTCTGGTCAAACTCACCAATGACCACCTTTAACATTGTGATAATCCCCTCCAGATCCAACACCATCCACAACAAAAGTTCGGATAGCTTTGATGGAGGGGAAACTGCGAGCTGATGAAGAAGCCATTGTGATTTGGCAGAGAGGAATAACAGTACTGACTGAAGCAGAGAGACAAACAGATGGAAGTGAAGGGAAAAGTCAGGATTGTACTACTGTCTGCTTATGATTGATGGGTGAGGAGGCTACTTTGTAGATTTCATGAGAAACACTTTGGCGGGGAGGATTGTTCATTCCAAATTGAGCCGGGAGAATATCGACCGAGCTATTTTTGAAGCGGAATGTCAAGACGATTTCATAATTTTTGAGTGAGCATAGATAGATCTGGGCCTGTTAAAGTGTTGGATGTTTCTTGGCATTTGAGATATGAATTGATCTGGAAGAAGTTTGTTGAAGGAGATTTTTCCGGTCATTATGTGTTGTGGATGTTGTTGTTGTTGTTGTTGATGTTGTTGGTGTTGTTGATGTGATGTTGTAGGTGATGATAAAGTCTGAGAGAATTAGAAATTTTTTCTCAAAGAACTACGAGTATGAATGGATGGGGTTTGCGAGTACAAGAGGGTTTGTATGCCCAGCAAAATAAATATATCTATCCTATAACATTCATAAACGACTTTGTTACTCACATCAATTCATCTTAATCATTGAATCATCTACTTGAGTACAGAGTATACATTTGCAGCAGATGTAGTCTTTCATGGCATACTCGAGTATACTTGATCATATCAAGGTTCTCTTACCCAGGTCTCTCACCCAGGTCTCTCACCCAGGTCTCTCACCCAGGTCTCTCACCCAGGTCTCTCACCCAGGTCTCTCACCCAGGTCTCTCACCCAGGTCTCTCACCCAGGTCTCTCACCCAGGTCTTTCACCAAAGTTCTCTTACCAAGTTCTCTTACCAAGTTCTCTCACCCAGGTCTCTCACATGCCAATTCTTTCTCATCCGTCCGCAATACACCATTATTTCCCATTGCATATGAAAACATGAAAACATGAATACTCAGTTGGCCTGCCAGTGCCTGCCCAAGTAACCCAATTGATTGATCAATGAACGAGTCAGCTGGTGACGGGTGACGGGAACTGCATTAACCCAAACTTACCCCACGAAACGCAATTCAAACCCTGTGGAGTCAAGCCGTTAGCTACATTGAATCAATCAATCAATCAATCTCTTGCAATTGATGGCATTGGGAGAATTATAGGTGAGTGAGTGTGTGTCTGTGTGTGTCTGTGTGTGTGTCTGAGAGAGAGAGAGAGAGAGAGAGAGCTGATAAGTACAGACGACATCGTACCTAGTATCTATCTATCGAGATACTCCAGAGTCCGCACTTCGTATTCAACCAACACACTCATCACTTCAAGGATTCCCGGATAATGACAAGAACACATACACCATGAACTTTAAACCACAACCCATAATCCATCCATCTTCATATTCGAAGAATGAATGGCCTGACCACGTGCCCCACCATATTCTTTTTCCCCCGTCCTCTCTTTTTTCCATGCCTACCTACCTCGAGCTTACCTGCCACCTTAAACCTAGTGAAATCTTGCATACTCGAACTTACCACAAAAGTACATCGCATTCACTTGGCTATTGGTAAAATATCAAACCCCCACCTCCACTTCCTCGCTCATTTAATACCGAGCTGGTCCTTCTTCTTCGTTCCCATCTTCGCCGAGATTCGAAGCAGGTGGGCTGTCAATATTATCATTTTGTTATCGGAATCAAATGTCGGCTTCCATGGATATCCAACAATCACCTAGAACGTCTCTACGTTCTGGTGCAACTCAACCCGAGAGTGATGGAGACAATGACCAATATTACAGCGGGGGGGAGGATAGCATTGATGCAAATGGAGACGGTCCTCGCAAAAGGCAACGTCGGCCGATGTCAGTTTCGTAAGGAATTATGTCTCATTCTTCTCTCCCTGATGTCCCAAATGATCCTGATATCAACAATAACGACGAGGAGTCCTCTGCTGCCAATTCCCTTCCGGTCAAGGAATCGGAAGATCATCCCCCAGTCAATGATACAGAAAATGTTGGACATGATTGGCTGACAATTCGTCGAAGGTGTGAGCTATGTAAGCAAAGAAAGGTACGTCAGTATCAGGTTATATTTTCAATTCAAAATTCATCAAAGTTCATCTCTATGATTTGGTATCGATTGGTTCAAAAGTTATATACGAGATTGCTGGAAATACATATGCACGACGCTAAAGTATCTTCCATGTGTCTCACTATGACTTTGATGATACACTTCCGAAATCTTCAGATTGTTCGTTCGATATTTTGATGAATTGTATTCTGACTAGAATAGGTCAAATGTGATCGCGGTCAACCATCATGTGGATGGTGTAGCCGCAATGGCGCTGTATGTGAATACAAAGAGCGCAAGAAACCTGGATTAAGAGCTGGTTATGGTCGAGAACTAGAACAAAGATTGGATCGACTCGAGGAAATTCTACGCTCGCATGCTCAAATACTAGAATCATCCTTTGGTCAAAACAGCAATAGTGTTGCCAATAGCGTTCCGAGCGATCACGGTACACCACAAAGTATTCATAGCTTCAGACACAATGAAGGGCTGTCTAATCATCGTGGAGGGCATGTTGCCAGAGCAGAGACAGCCCTATTTCTTCAAAAGCCTTCTACGTTTGGACAACAAAATACACCCATGGATTTTGGTAATCCAATGCCTCCAACTCCCTCGATGCCATCTATTCACGGCGATATCTTCCATCAGCAACATACCCCTGTATCACAAGGATCGCACCTATCCATGGATATGCAACAAAATCACTCGATCTCAACTAGTCAAGCACCAGATTTTTATAATACGAATCAACCACCTCTACAATCACCTAGCTTAAACATAAACCAAAACCCAAACGAAGTCTCTTCCGATCATGCTTTACCGCCATATGATTTGCTATATGCATTAGTTGACCTCTACTTTAAGTATGTTAATACTTGGTGTCCAATATTACATCGAAGATCTACGCTGGATTCACTATTCGGTCCATCTGCTCTAGATGAAGCAGACAAAATACTTCTACATGCCATTGTAGCTACCACATTAAGATTTTCTACGGATCAACGACTTACAGAAGAAAGAAGACGACATTATCATGACATATCTAAACAGAAGGTATTGTTGTATGGATTGGAAAACTCCTCCGTAAAAGCTCTACAGGCTCTGGTTATCTTGGCTTTGGATCTCGTAGGCAGTAGTAATGGGCCACCAGGATGGAATCTATTGGCTTTAATTACACGCTCAGTAGTTCAATTGGGACTTGCTGTTGAGACCACTTCCTTCTCTGTCTCGCCAAACTATCCTTCAATTTATACACTTCGCGCAATGGTCTTGCCAGAACCGGAGAATTGGATTGAGGAGGAATCACGGAGACGCCTTTTCTGGATGGTATACCTCTTGGATCGATATGCCACAATCGCCACAGCTTTTGAATTTGCCCTGGACGAAAAAGAAATCGACAGAACTCTACCTTGTCGAGATGATCTTTGGAATAAAAATCAGACTGTGGAGACAAGATGGTTCCGCACGAGCGAAAGGAAAGAGTACGACATTGATAAACCAGAGAATCTTGGCGCATTCTCGTATTATATCGAAATCCTTGGAATTCTCTCAAGGATTCATAAATTCTTGAAGAAGCCAGTAGATATCAGTGCTTTGTCCGACGTTGAACAATGGCAAGGCGAATATCGAGAACTGGATAATATGCTCACTTCGTGGAAATTCAATCTGCCTGGGGATTATGGAAACATGGCGAAGCTTTTTCAACCAGGAAGCAATAAATCCATCAATTGTGGCTGGGTTATGCTACACGCGACATATCACACAGCAGTAATACGACTTCATTCATCCGCTGCTTATCCTACAACTCGATCACCTATTTTCACCCCTTCGTATAGTGCGAGTCAACGTTGTCATGGTGCTGTTGAGAATATTGCAGCTTTAGGAGAGTATGTACATTTTTTATTCATTTCATCTTACCTTTGAGCCCTACCTATGAAATTCTAATAATTGACCCGATCTTCTCGTAAACTTTGACGTTTTACAAAATCAAATTTTGAGTAAGATTTACTAACACAGCCCCATAGATACGTAGTCCAAAATGGCATGCTCCCAAAATTAGGCCCACCATTTGCATTCACCCTCTGGGTAGCTGCCCGCTTACTCCTCGTCCATGGTTCAACCATCGAACACAAACTCAGTCCTCAAATCCAGTTCTTCGTTGACACACTCCGAGATATGGGTACCTACTGGCTCGTGGCTGAACGCTACACAACTATTCTTCAACGAGTACTTGACGAACATCGTGATAGCGAAAATGCCGCCGGTACACATGGTGAACGTGTAACTCCATCTTCTGTCAAGATCCTTGCGGATATGAGAAGATGTGCATATGATTTAGATTTTCTAATCTCGAGACAACCGAAACATGTTGGACTTTCACGAATGCCAAGTATCACTCCGGCCAGAACTCCAGCGCCGAATGAGTTGGAGTATTTGGATGTTTTTGATTTCTTCAATGTACCCAGATTACCGGTTGCTCCGGGTGAAGCTCAGGGGAATGGTAATGGTGGGAATGGTGGGAATGCAAACGGAGCGGGTGATCTACAGATGCCGGAGATGGGAAACAGAGCTAATGAATTCAATATCACGAATTTTATGGTGGATCAAAACTCAGATTGGTTCAAGACTCTGAAACATGGTATTGATGGGGGTCAGAATAATAGTTGAGTGGAATGTCTTTTTGGCTATAAATTTTGGGGTTTGGTTCTCCATGATATGTTTTTTTGGATCAAATGGGAAGGAAAGAAGAGAGAAGATTACGAGTATTCTTGGGGTGAATTTTCAGCCTTGCGGCAGCGCCTGAGTGGGTAAATTATTTAGAGGAATACTCTTGGGAGGAATGATCGAATGTAGATAAATGCAAAGGATACGGCACGGATGGGTAGGGAGTCGAAGGATCAATAGGGAAAATGGGAAAACCTACGGGAAGAAATCGGACGTCAGGGGAAATATTTGAGAATCAAAAAGCGAGGATACCATCGATGGATAGATGGTCTCGTTGTTGTAGATACCTACTATTTATGTATGCATATATTAGATATTAATTGTATTTACACAAGGCACTTATGGTATACCTCATCGTGTTTGATTGTTGACAATTCTGAGGATGGTATTAAAATATAAGTAGTAGGTTGATTTTGTTATATATAATTTTATACTTGAGGGAATAAGTCGGGTACCCTACTTTCGGGCCACCCCCCTTTTGGGCCACTTTTTACACCAAAAATGGAATTTTTAACTTTCTTATTTATGAATAGAATTCACTGAAAATTTATATATATATAATTTAGATCATTTTTAGCTTACCTTGAAAATTTCAGATTTTTAGGAATTTTCTGTATTGAGATCTAAAGCTTTAAAATATCGATTCTTAAATTTGTATGGGAATTACATACAAATTTGAAACTTTTATAAAATCTTTAATAACTTTTTAATAAAAATTATTAAAAATAAACTATAAAATTTTATTATAAATTTATAACATATTTATCTTGAAGGATTCAGAAAAAAAAGAAAATTTCCTATAAATAAATACTTAAAAGACTACCCTCAAAATTACAGGGATTATTTTGTTACAACGGATTAGTAACAGGCTGTAGAATCACTGACTTATAGGCTATAATGGTATTATAGGCCTCAGTGATTCAGCTGCAGTATACCGGGGGACACTAGGCACCCAAGGAAAGCCTCAGGCATGTATATAGTATTAGTTATAGAATACACTGAATCATAGGACATGGTTCCTAGGACAGTAGGGTCCTAAGAAGAATAAGCAATACAGGACACAGTAAGCAAGAGAGGTCTTGCTAGGATTAGTAAGCTCCCAAGGGATTAGCCCTAGGACAGGAAATAAGACAGGACGACAAGACTCACGGGACTAGTATCACGTGATGGACCATCCCATCAGTCCCACCGATTATTATCAATGGGATCAGTGGGATCCCACTACGCCCACTACTCTCAGTGAGTGGGATCGATGGGATCGCAGAGTGCAAAGGTCTATATAAGGGAAAGGGTTTCTTTACATGTAGAGCTTCGTGCTCAAGAACAATCATTAGTTTCATTACTATAGTTACGAGAATTGCAACCAGTTACAACCTTATTGAATTCCTACTTGAAGTCTAGTCTAAACCACCTCGAGAGATCTCTAGCCACTTCCACGTGACCCTAGAGGCAGCTCCCGTAACAAAAGAGTATAAGAATGCTCGCTTGTAAAAAACGATAAATACTAGAAATAATACTTTTTTATCTGTTGATTAATAATCTTTATAATTCTGAAAGTATTTTTAAAATTACTTATTTATTAAAAAGTTTTAATTTTTTTTGAATTTTCTATTTTATAAATAATATAAATTTGATGTTTTACATTTTATAATTTATTTTTAATAATTATTATTAAAAAGTTATTTAAGATTTTATTAAAATATTATACTTATATAGAAATCATTACATGTAAATTTAAAAATAGATATCTTGAGATTTTAAAAATTAATTCAGAAAAATCCTAGAAATCTAAAACTTTTAAAATAATTTTTAATTGATCTAAACTATAAACTATATATGGTCAAATTTTTAATAAATTATATTTATAAATAAGATAATTGAAACTGTCATTTTTTTTAAGGATTTTGATAATAAAAAGTGGCTCGAAACAGGGGTGGTTAGAAAATGAGATGTTCAACTTATAACAAATCGAGAAATCACGAAGTCATGAAACATAGAATCGAAATTATTAATAGGCGAGAAACTGATTGATAAGTAGAATTCGAAATCTATCTTTATCTTTCAAGTTCCGAAATATCTCATCAATGGACCAACTCAATTTCAAATCACTTCTCTTGATTCCTATTTCTATTTCTGTTGCTATCGCTGTTCCTCTTTCTCCTCCTCCAACTCCCCAACCTTCCATTCGATATTATAATCCACATTATCCATAAATCCATAATTCTCCAAGAACTAGTAAAGGCCGGTTTACTTTCCCCCTCTTCCTCTTTCTCTTACTGTACCATCCCAAATTCCCTGCAGCCCTCTAAAAGTTTCATACCTGCAATATCCAGTATTGAATGATCCATCCTGGGATTGAGCTGTGAGTAGAATACATGACTTTAATACATGATCCACATGTATTTTCTAAAACAACAACGAAAAGTGCAACCCCAAACAAAAATAACCCCAAGGAAAACTAAATCGAAAAACGATAGCGAGTAGATAAGCCAAGTAGGCGCAGCCTCTAAGACCAAATCATTCTCGTCCAACCTATTGGAACAGGATTTGCTGCCTGAGCTTGGAGTCTAGCTCCCAGGTATCGAACACAAAAGAGACTCTTTGACAAATCAACCAAGTATGAATCACAGACCCAAAGGCTTGGTGAATGACTCGAGAAACTTTCCCCAAAAAAGACAATCCAACTTAATATGATAATTCCCTCCCAAACACCAGGTATAATTCCCTTTTCCCAATGCATAAAATCAGTGACAAAAGAAATAGATGATCGCAGACAACAAGAATGTCTAGGCAGAATCGCAATGCCCAATCTCCCAAAGATTCAACGCGCCATGCTGTATTAAGCCCACTATACACTGCCAAAGACTTCAATGACTGTAGAAGTTCCCCGTTTGTAGCCAATCAAGACTTGTCCTCTTTGTGATATATATATCTATATATTCTTTCGTGCCTTCAATAACTTCTTAGAGAGTACGGTATCGCGTGTATTCATTCTTCGATCGTAATTGTGTAGTTGGATAAGGTAGTGGGTATCAGAAGTAGAGATTGTCGCATGCGATTTGGGTCATGGCGCAGAGGTGGAGCTTGTTCGATTGTGGCCCATGAAAAGGAGTGTGAGTTCAGATGGTGGAGCAGAAGGAATTCTGCGGCGGAATGAGAAGAGATATTTAATCCAATGATCGAATTCGAAGCGCACAAGAGGTCGCGATTGCCATGAATAGCCAGTTATCGAAGACAATACATTTCATCTGCGGTGTTGTCTAGATGAGTGGGTATGCGAACTATGACTAGCTGTGTGATAGCCAGAGTCTGAGTAGTCTTCCCGCGCATATGGATCTTGATAGGCTTGGTGAGTTGAGTGTTTATCGCAAGCATATCCAACTAATACCGTTCTCTCTTGAATTCCATGACCTTGTGTACCGTATGCGGCGCACATATCAACGCTGTGCTGGTAGTAGAGGCAGCGGCAGACTGAGTATCTTTCGACCACGAGATAGCACATCTTGAATGATAATCGAGTATAGTCTTGGTAGTTGTCGAATTCGAATTTCCTATATAGCGTAGTGGGGTCTTGGTTCTAGATAGAGGGGTGACTAAGACTGAGTATAGAGACAATAAAAAATATGCGATCAACGAGGAATAAGGCAATGAAATATATTAACGAGCAGACTGAAAGGAGATGATGCATGGACAAAGGAAGTCTAAACTTGACAGATGATGAAGCTTGTGATGTAAGAAGGTAGGAGTCATTGATCGGAGGATCATGACTGCCTTATAGACTCTGCCACTTGAATGAGTGAGTCTTGCCGTGATGGAAAAATAAGGCAACAGTGGGTATGGGCTGGTATGAACCTGCATGTAGGGTATGCAGGTCAACAAACATGCAGGAAACCTATACATGGGATGAGATGATGAGTCGTAGGCGCAGTGGAGAGTTGGAAGCATGCCTGCCTCAGTACAGACACGCTTGCAGGAATAGAAAGTCATGCCTGGTCATATTCTGCACCAAGTCCCAAATGGATGGTCTCCTACCACGAGGTGGCTTACCATCACCACCATAGAGACAAGGGATCTGGAAAGGAACCGGGCCTCTCATGGATGGGCTGAAATAGAAACCTTGACAGCGCTGAGTAAAGCCTCAGCCTCGAGTAAGTAACAAGTACAGTAAGTAGTACTTTTGTTTCTAAGATAGTTCCGAAAAGTCGGGATTATTGATCTACGGAAGATCGATTTAGGTTAAGACGGGTATACCGGGATATGGCAGTAGGTTGCTAAAGAAGGAATAAGATGGTGGAACGTGTATTGAAGCCTTGGCGGCGCAGGGAAACCAAAGCCCACCATGTTCATTGACAGATATCCACCATGGCTTGGTCGAGAGGTCCTGTGCAACGGTAAGTACCATGGTAGGCTTTTCTGAACATGAACTGTCTAGTAAATTTATCGACCACTACAAAGTGTAACAAATGGACAAGGTGGATTAGTATGATATGGGAGGATAGTAGTCAACCGGAGCAAGCTAATGGTTAGTGACGGAAGTGAGTGGTCAGAATTTGTAATGTAATGGAGAAGGGGACGGAGATGGAACAAGCGGGAAGGACATTCAACAGCATTGAATAGTCGGTAAGCATTGCTAGGATAAATGATGTATCATGTATGCAGACGCAGAAAAGTAGGTAGGTATAGATGAGTTAGCGGTGGGCAGGTGGACGATTTTGGAAATAGATTCATGGTCGTGATAATACCTAATACCCAAGTAAATAATTCGAGCAGTGCCAATCAGTAGGGAGTAAGAACTTGGAAGGTGATGAGGATCTAGTCTGATGATCGCGCGTACAGGTAACAAATTGCCGCGAGTTATTGAAACCCCATGTTGATGACATGGTTACACTACTGCAAGTAAGGTACGAGCTGCCAGATTCAATTCTTGAAAGGGGATTGGTCGATCAATCAAATTGTTTGATTGATGAGAGGAACAGTTATGCAGATGATGAGGAGTGCAGTGTCGTTTCAAGGTCTGTGGTAGGGTGTAGTAGGGTGTAGGGTGTAGTAGGTTGTAGTAAGGTGTGATGAGGTGAGGTGAGGTGAGGTGAGATGGGATGGGAAACAAGAGCCATCGGAAAAACATCACCTCGTCCGCATATCCATAACTTATTAGCAAATCTACATTCAGCTTTTTTCCCCTAAATTCCCACTAAAATCACTAGCTTGGAATTTTATGACATGGCTCGTGGCTCATGGCTATGTATATGTATCTTTTTTACTTCGCTTAAAATGGAGAGATTATGATTGGTTAAAAAACGATCCTTACCATCCAATGAATTAAACAATTAATTCTTATTATTCCCAAAGAAGGTTGAATGTCCGATAGTTAACAAGATGGAATAATCTAATCGAAACCGTTGGAGAGACACACACAGAGACAGAGAAGGTAATGATTATTGATCTGTCATATCCAACAACATTTCATCATTTCAAGTACCGGACAAATGAGAATGAGATATCCCAATTCTATATACATTGATGATAACCAGTTTAACTAGATGATCATTGACATCTGTACCTAATCGGCAAGAAAATGGCCATTCAGGCGGCTAGATGCTCGTACAGGAAAATCTGTAGTGTCAACGGGATTGACTGTGCGATGCAGTTTGATCGCTTTCTCGTTTCCTTTTTTAAACTTTCATTCGAGTTATTCTGGTATACTCAATGTAACTATGAGTGCTAACTATTTCTATTCTGAACCTCTGTCGTATACCGAAATGATACGTCGATGAAATTGCCAATCATCTAACCCCCTCTCTACCGATCCATCTTCTCCCACGATCCCTTCCATAATTTTATATCACATTCATGTGTATCACTCAGGGTGCCTAAGGACTCACGTCAAGCCCCGTTTTGAAACTTATAAAATTTCACTCATCAATATCAATATTAATATTAGCTAGCGACAGCGACCTCATATCTGACCATCAACCTTGAATTGCATCGGAAGGATTCTCATCACAACAGGGGAAAACGCGAGCAAGCTACACAACCCCTTCTCCCATATTCGGATAATGTCAATGTGCTCAGCTGAACTGGGGCTCCTTACTCACCACATTTCAAGCCATCATTCAACCACAATAATAAGATTATACCTCAACAGACTCAAAGTAGATATTTCCTGTCTAGTTACAGGTTGTGACAGTAGGATTCTTCTGCAGCCGTCTGATTTCGGTGTAAGAGTCATCTTGGAATCTAGAATAGCTATTATAGAGTACGAATTGAATTGAAACACAAAGCTTCTTTTTGAAACTTATCAATTGCTTAGCTTGATATTGCACTTTTGCGACTGAAACATGTATTGACAGATGCTTGGATGTATTTTGACATCGTACTGTAACGTGGTATCCAGACCTAGGTCTTCATCAGTAGTGTCAGGACTGAAACTCTGACTCTTTCTTTTACCTCGTTCCCTCCAATACAATTCATTCAATTCCATCAAACTAGCCATAACTTGTGGCATTCCCCGTTCTCTCCATTCCTCAACCCATTTCAAAGCTCTCCCCGAAAGCTAAAAACATCATCAACATTTCCAAAATCTGCCTCACTCCAAGAACCCCCGTTTCCTACACCCATATCATTCAGCCTCGCACTAACCAACCCGAATCTCGTAAGGCGACCTATTGAAGCGACGTCCCATTTGCATCCCCGCTGCAAACCAATGCAAACTAAGTCTAGCACTGCCTCATTGTGGCTCACCTGTGACTTAGTTAGTGTTTGCTCACCTCTTTTTGGCACTCGTCGAGCCATTCACACATCCTCACCCACATTTCCATTGTCAAAGCTTGAGAGTGATGATAACTCGTCACCATACAGTAAGACAAACTCGTTATGTCATCTAAATCTCCTAGGTGGGTACGAGTATGGAGTACGATTATTAGGGTCATGTATGTATCACGGGGACTCCGAGATTTCGTCACGAGAGAAGAGTTGACGACAAGGTCCATTCGGAATCAATTGACATTGGACGAGATGAGAACTGCTGCCTCGATAATTGATAATTCGAATGTTAATACGGAAGATAACCGTATCGAGTATACGTAGGTATCATGTGAGCACGGAATCGGGTTGATTACCTTCAGGTGCCTGCCTATCAAGATATCATACTTGGACTCTACCTAGTAGTATTGCCGTTTTCTTCTGCTTGCAAGAAGATTTCGTCATTGGTGGTTTCGATACGAATTGCTTACAACTGAATGAGTTTCCAATTGTTTCATCAATTGCTCAACACTCGCGCGCACAATTTCTCAACTCACTTCCGTTACCGGTACCAACGATCTCGTTCCCCAAAGAGCATATCCCTATCCCTCTCACTATCCCTACCTCCACATGCGAAATACGATCCACCAGCGATCCACAACATGACAGCTCAAACGAAAGAAACGGCGAGCCGGCATTCAGCCACAGTCCCAAGCCAGGGATCTTTTACACCCCAGTCCATTATCCTAGAACGGAAAAGAACCGATTATTACATCGATCCGGTCCACTGGTCGTGCATCACATCACATTGCATCGCATATGTGATATTTGGCCTGATATTCAAACTTATCCGAACATGTTACCACGTTACCACACCTCCAAATCCATCAGAAGCTAGAAGCCAGATGTTGCAAGCCTAGAACACATCAGATATGTCAAAGTCCGAATGTGATTCAGAGGACAAGCCCGGTACATTGTACCAAGCGTTACAAACGCGCATTAAATCAAGGCATCCGTGCAGATCAGTCGTCTCTTGTATTCGGATTCGGATGCCCAGCTATTCAGCTTCTCGGCTGTTCTCGAGCTGAGATGCAAGACTGATATATCAGTCATTCATTTGGTTCCACATTCATCCGGTATCCATGCTTGTTTACGAACACCTTGTCGATAACAACTTGCTAGTTCCTAGTTTATTTGTACGTTAATTCGTTACTTGTAGCTAATTTTATGATGTATTTCCGGATACTCCCCATAGATAGCATAACTGATGCCAACGGTCCGACTTGTTCCCATATCATACCGGCAGTTGTGATTGCTCTTCACAATGGTTCGTATTCCTATGAGCCTGGTGATAGCTAGCTGTAGTCTTCAGTTATGCGATACAAACCCTTATGCTACATCATAAACATAGCCACACAAGTGCGGTAAAGGTCTTAAAGACTTTGCTTTTGCTCTTTTGAGAATTCCGTCTCATTTCCCGTCTTTCTTGGGCTATGACATACTTATCTTGCTTCTACTTGTCAGTCGCAAGACCAGATGTATCAAAGCAACATGGATGCCGTGCTTAGAGGAGTACCATTTTACATGACTTATCTCTGTCCTCGTATAGCCAAGATCAGATATCCAAGTGAAGAGTCTGGACAAAGCAGTTACGTAACATCTTTTAAAGGCGTTTCATCATCGAAGATCTTCAACCGAGGAGGGGAAGCAGGCGTATTTAACCCAAAAGCTTCCGGAATTTCTATCTTTATCTTTATGTGTTGTATATTTTGACAACCGGAAAAGATTCTCTTCTATGAGATTTTTCAGGTTTGCAATCGAAATGGCTGGGATAATGATATAGTCGTATTCAATTTGTGCCTGAGCTTGAATCTCCTATTATTGAGTATGGGAAATTTACAATGGAGAGATACTCTCATATAAGTTCCTGGGGATGTCTAGATAGATAGTCATATAGCCAGTGAACTCTTCAACAAATATCGAATTCACATATATATACATGGAGATGAACATGGTTAGTATCTAAGTAGACGAAAGGAGAGCGTAAACATGTCTTGGTTGGATGATCTTTACCAGCACCTCTAATTCTGCTTAGGAATATGAAAATATCGGAGGGAGCGGTTATAAAGTTCCGCATAAATAGTAGTTCAGCGTAGCAACCTCGATGCGGAGTTCCACTAATTAGACGCAAGTAATACTTTAATACTGAAATGAAAATCATACTTCCAAATGCTTCAGATATTCCACTCATAGTTTGTGATAACAAATGTCTAATTTTAAGACTGCAGTTCAATTTGTCAGCAACCCGGTAGTATCAACGCCAAAGTATTTATCTGTGTGAAATTCCAGTATCCCATTTCATCACGACCCAATTCATAACCATGAGATGATAACCTATGAATACTATGCACTTTCAATTCTAGCCCCAATAATTGTATAACACCAGTACACCACTATATCTGCATACATAGAATAAAACCAAGCAACCCAAAAACTTACAAGTAAGAACCAGAGCCAAATCAAGAGATCATTACCTATCTAGGTACCTAGCTATTTTTCCGACGACAGATTCTATAATATGCGCTTCATATCTTAGTACTGTATCTCAATGAGAAGATAGTTGACTGTGCAATTGTGGAATTGTAAGATTGCAAATACGTAGAAAGGATATGTAGCAGTGATTCGGGCGGGGGTAGGGGCGAAAGCGGGGACTTCGAAATTTTCATACATATAGGCAGATATTGGAAAGTTATATATAAATATTTAGGTAACATGGTTTAACACCGAGTGCATCATATCACCGAATACAACACTTTTATCTCAATTTATATTCTCCAATTTCAATATATAATTTATCAATTATTTATTATGTAATTAATAAGAAAAGAAGTTCAAATACTCTTAGCTATTAAAGTTATTTAAAAAGATAAAAAGCTTAGTATTTATAAAGCTGTTAAGCTATATAATATAATATATATAATACTTCTTTACAAAATAAAAGGCTTGCCCTCCTGTATAGAAATTCAAGCGAATAGTTATAAGATTACAAAATTAGAAAAAAAAGGTGATTGTTTAATATATATTTAATATAGATTTAAAAGGATTTTCATTTAAATTAAAAAATATAGAAGGTATAGCGAATAATATTCTCGAATTGAGGGGTGTGAAATGTATTGAGAAGCTTTAAACATATTGATTTGTAAAGTATCGAATTGAATTAAAGATATGTTTTAGTTATATTTATAATTTTCAAAGAGTTCTTTGTAAGAATCTTAAGTTTTTTAAAGAGTGGTTTTAATTAGTTATAAATATGCGAGTGAAATACGGCATTTTGAATAGAGATTTCTATAATTTTAATGAAACAGGTTTTATGATAGGGATTATATATATAGTAATAGTAGTAATTAATATTAAACGAAATAGTAGAAGTAAGGTAATACAATTAGACAATCGAGAATAGGCTACAGCAATAATATGCGGAAATGGAGAGGGTAGAATTATTCCCCCATTTCTAATAGTTTAAGGATAAGTTTATCTTTTTAATTAATATACTGAAATGAATCTTTCTATAGAATAGGCTATTAAATCTACATTTAATAGGTGGACAAATAATAAGATGGGTTTAAAATAATTAAAACATTTCAATAAATGTACTAAAAATCAAAGAAAGGACAAATATCGAATGTTAATACTGAATAGGCATAAAAGCTATAAATCAATAGCTTTTCAAGTATACTATAAAAAGAATAATATTATATATTTACATTTACTACTACATTCAAGTTATTTAATTCAATCACTTAATATTAACTGTTTTAGTAATCTAAAATGTTTATATAATGATCAAATTGATAGATTTATTAAGGTATATATTAATTATATTTTAAAGATTGAATTCTTTATAGCTTTTAAAGTTGTATATGAGGAATTAATTACTTTTCAAAATATAAAATCAGGATTTTAAAGAACAGGTTTAATTCTATTTAATTCTAAAGTTGTACTCTTGAAATTGAATATTCGAATTTGTATGCCTACCTCTCCCTCTTTCGATTTAAATCAATGAATCTCTTAAATCTTTTGTAACCTAATTAAAGCTCTTTCTTAATTAATATTAATTAAATTTTAAATAACTTATTATTAAGTAAACTCTTTTATACCTATATTCAAGATTATATTAACTCTAGCTAAGAATATAAAGAGATTAGTTTATAAAAATATATTTTTAAATATAGAGATTTATATATTTCGAGTAGTAAATAAAGTATTAAGCAAGTATTGATATATGAAAAAAACTCAATTATGTTAAGGAGGAGTGCTTATTAAACAAAAGGCTTTTGATATATTATCTCAGCAAAAAGTTGATATTTAGATTCAATATAATGAACATCAAAAAGAGGGGAATTCTAATGAGGAAGTATTTTCTAATTGATATCATAATAAATATAAAAAGATAGGTTATAATATAAGAACTTATTAAAATAATATAATAGATTTCAAATTATTAGATTTTTAATAGTTTTAATTAATTGATTTAATTGTTATTGAATAATATAAGATTGAAAGTATAAATTGAGGTAAAAGTGGTGTATTCAGTGATATAATGTATTCGGTGTTAAACCATGTTACTTATATATTGTACCATCCCATCCCATCCCATCACCATCCAAAAACAAAACAAAACAAGACAAAACATTTCCTAAAATCATCCACACATTTCATTTGCAAACCCATCAATCTTACTTCTTTCCAAACCCAAACCCTCGAATCATGCGAGAAATCAAAATCCATGAATCTTTAAAGGCTCGCTAGAATATCTAGAGTATAGGTAGGTACTTAGAGAACAAGATATGTAACAGCTATTTTTCAACCAGCACATCACATCGTCCCCTTCCAGGAAACCTCCACTAGGGAATCTACAAAGTCAAGCGATGCGGAATAAGCTAGCTAGACTGAGCTACGAACGATTGGTTATCTTACAAGTTCGTGGATTGTGTACAATGAGATGAGATGAGATGAGATGTGTTTTTGGTTTGATTCTTAGGCGCGTGTTTGCTTGGTTCTGCTCTGTTATGTTCTGTGTTGGGGGTTGTTTATATTCGCGATGTGATATGTCGATGGGATAGTTATTGGGTGATAGGTGATGTGATGTTTTTCGACGTCCTAGCCCCCCTCCAATTCATCCCATCCCATCATACTTCTATCATCTACTTTCTATGCATGTAGGAGTATAAACTAGGAGTTTATCTACGTAAATTTAGAGAGAAGGATCGGTATACATATGACTATTGGATTGGTGTCATCCAAATAAACTTGTATCGAAATAGTAAGTCGTACTTTCACTCACATAATACAGAAAGGCAGTATGAATATGCAACTAGCAAGCTGCTGAAGCCTTCCTTTGATTATTAACTATCTCGCAAATTTCTGCCTCCGTCAACATAGTATTCTGTGCGATTGTCCTGCCCAGTTCGAGTTCAACCACTCTTCAAGAGGCTATCATTCGGTCTCTGAAATTTGGTGTGGTTGTGAGGTCAGTAAAGGTGAACGCGACTTCTACACCTTTCCCACGAGCATATTCAATAGCATCCGTACTGATTTCAGCGCAATCCCTCACGTCGAGAAATTTAACCCCTTGGTTAACAAAATGCTTCACAGCAACACCTGTGATCTTTGTACCACAGATATTTAGCTTTTCCAGATTTGGACATTTCTCGACCATGCGTATGAAGTCTCTTTCTTCATACTGTAAATAGCCAACACTCAATACCACGACATTTTCGCATACAGGAAAATTTTGGTGCGCGACAGTATAATCTCCGACAAGGCGACTTCCAATGTTTAGATGCTTGAGACTGCGCGCATTTTTGAGAACGGAAACAATCCATTCATCGCTGAGTC